TGCCGGCTTTAAATTTCTTAAACCAATTGCGGACGGTCATAATGGTCGTAGTACCACTCCCGTAAACGGTGCAAATCTCGTCTGTAGTGTCCTTTGCACTATTGCCTTCTTTAAAGCAATGAAGCATAACATGCCGAAAATGCTATGGTATAAGTGAAACAGCGGCAGTGAAATATACTCGTGACGGATTGAAGCATCGAGCGAGGGTTACGTGAAGCATCAGGACAATATTTAACGAGCATCGCTAATTATAGCAACAGGTCAAACCTAACATCTTCAACAGGGAAACTCGATCTGGCCACCAAGGATGATGTTGATAAACGTAGAAAGCGGACCCAAAGGTAGTGTGCTACAATTGTTCCGAATCAGGACATATTTCCAGTCAATGGCCAAAACCACCGCGAAGAGAACGATGCCGAGATTGTCACAAAGTTCATTCTAAAGATACACAGACATATTGTAGAAGAAAAGAAACAAAAACTTACTGCGTATGTAATAATACGATAAATAGTTTTAGATAAGATGCCTTGATTGATACCGGTAGTGAATGCAGCATGATCCATAAAACAGTCGCGTATAAGCTAGGAGTCGACATTAGAAAATGCAACATGACAACAAAACTTACGATTGATGATATTGAAATTACGGCAGAACTTTACGTTGCGCATGATCATATTTTTAACCCGACCTTAATTCTTGGAAAAGACATTTTTACGAACAATGAAATACAGCTTATAGTAAATGATAAAGGGTAACGATTAGAATACGCTAACGTATTCACGACATGGAAAACTGAACGAAAACCAATATCTGAAATTAATTGCGGAGCAAAAGACGAAGATATCCGGTTATGTTGTGTGAACTGATAAACGACTATAGAACTGTTATGGGAAGAGACATCAGCAAAATCGGATTAAGGAACGAATTAAAAGTGAAAATTGAATTGACAACAAAGGAACCTGTTGTATCCAGGCCATACCAAATACCCGAATCGAAAAAAGAAATAGTAAAAACGATGATAAATGAACTTTTAGCGAACGATATTATAACAAAATCTACGCCACGTATGCCAGCCCAATTGTACTTGTAAAGAAGATTATGCGTCGATTATCGAAAAAACACCAGCACATAGTGAAGGAGATATTTCCAACTCCAAATATTGAAGAACGACTGCAAGACATAAACCAATTGAAATACTACACGGTCCTAGACTTGAACAGCGGATATTACCAGGTTCCGATGTACGATAATAGTAAAATGTATACTGCATTTGTGACACCGGATGGATTGTACGAATTTAAACGAATGCCTTTTGGACTTAAAAACCGCCAGCGTTTAATGGCACTAATCCGCGAGAGAGCTCGGGACGGGGATGTATTCCACTATATGGACGATATCGTTGTGGGAAGTAATAGTATTGGCGAAATGTTGGACACATTTCGGAAAGTATTTTCAGTCTTACGAGAACTAAATTTAACGCTGAATTTCTAAACGAATCTATAGAAATTCTTGGTCATAAATTACAACCCGACGAGTAGGGGTGTAGTCGCGACGGTCTAAAGAAGGCTAAAACGGCAGCAATTCTGAAATTTTAAACCCCCACAAATATATCAGCAGTAAGACATACGCAGTCATTTCAGAACCTCAGTAATTTCAGAACCTCTACGTGTATTATTGAGGAAGGATTGTTCGTTTTATTGGGATGAGAAGAAGGAAGCAGTATTCCAAGAATTAAAAACGTATTTGATATCCAACCCCATTTTGGTAGCGTACAAGATGAATAGTGAACACCAGATCCATACGGACGCCAGCTCCATAGGTATTGCCGGAATATTGATGCAGAAAGAAGCCGATGTGTGGAAACCTGTAGCTTTTTACAGCAGATCAACGACCGACGAAGAGAAAAACTATCATAGTTACGAACTTGAAACATTGGCAGTTGTCGATACGTTGGAACGCTTTAAATATTATATCTACGGCAAAGAAATAACGGTAATTACTGATTGTAGTGCATTAAAAACGACCATGCTGAAAATGTAATTAATACCCCGAATTGCGAGATGGTGGCTACATATACAGGACTTTGACGTCAAAATAGAACACCGAATATCATCAAAAATGGAACACGTTGGCGCTTTAAGCCGGGCACCATATGAGAAACCGAATGAAACCGAGACAGCATCGATGCGTATATCAAAAACCACTGTAAGTGAAGAAGATTGGTTATTCTCAATGCAACTTCAGGACGAGAAAATAAGGGAAATAGTAGACGGAGTTATCGCCAAAGACAAAACGTTATGCAATGAATATATTATTGAAAATAAATAAATCATTGAAATCAAATAAACATTTGAAATTAGCTCAAGAACAACATGATAATGCTGGTCATTTAGGACTTGAAAAAACGATACAAGGGCTAACTCAACGATTCTGGTTTCCTCGAATGCGAAACTTTGTTAAGTTTGTTAAGTTGAAATGAAATAAACATTTGAAATTAGCTCAAGAACAACATGATAATGCTGGTCATTTAGGACTTGAAAAAAACGATACAAGGGCTAACTCAACGATTCTGGTTTTTGGTAAAAAATCGGCGATTTTCCAAAAATATTTTTTCAAAGGTCCGCCATTTTGTTAATTTTATAGCGAAGTCAATAATCCTAGTTCATACGAGAGCCAGACATGTACTCTTTCTAACACCGTTGGAATTTTCGGATTCCGATGTTCCAGTGAGGAGTTATCATACCCGCCATCAAAAATAAGGACTTTTCTTTAATTACAAAAAACAACAACAATAACAAATTTTTTTGTAAATTATTTTTCTTCTCTTTTAAATCTTCAAATATATATGTGCAAAGTTACAAACCTTAACAAGCATTGATATTGATTTGCCAGCACATTAAAATCTTAAAAAATTAAAATCGAGAATGGGTGGGGTTCCCTTAAGTCATGTATCTAGTGTGCATACAACAAACACGTTGGCGGGCAACGCGAAGGAGGGTACCATTTTAACAACATAACCCCGATCCCATTCCATACTGTGCATATGGATCACGTAGGGCCGTTTCCTAAAAGTTCTATGCAAAACGAACATATATTGGTCATCGTGGACGTCATTTTATGACGTCCAATGTCAATTTTTTGACTTGTTATTCTAAAAAAGTTCCTTTAAAACCTACAATTTTGAAATAGAATAACCAAGAATTAACGAAAAACCCCGAAACTGCAGGATGTTTTGCATATTTTTTGCCGCTACTTATTCAAATACTACTAATCAGTATTTGAATAAGTGGCAAAATTCCAAAGCAATGTTTAAATACATTAGCATTCAATTTGGCTTCTTTTATACTTTCTGGAAAACAACTTTTATAATACCCTTACACTAGCCTGGTAGTCTAACAAATGTCTCAAATTATCGAGGAATTGCAAAATTAACTGTTAACCAAAATTATTTGAAAAAAAAAACTAATTACTGATGTGATTTCACACAAAATTCAATTCATCTGCATGAATGTACGCGTACAATGAATGCCCATCTGCATTCATGAATGTCTATTCGTATCCAGTGTATCCAAATACTTTAAATGAATGTATGCAACCACAAATGTTGTGTTGTTCTTCGTTGTGCGTCATACAAGACCACAATATACAATATCAATGAGTGAATATCATGCATTGTATGTACTATATATTCTCCGAATATCTTAAATCGGGAGGTACGTTTTTATGGGGGCAATATCAAAACTTGGACGCATTTCCCATACCATTTGTTGTTGTTGTAGCAGCCCTATTGCTTTTACACATACCAGTAGTTGTATTGATATAATAAGCATCTGATCCAAATTTTGGCCGTCTATGTCAGTAGGTTCGCCAGTTAATTAGTTTATACCCAATTTTTGTGTAAATACTCAAAATAGGGGTACCTTTGTATGGGGGCTACAAGAAAACGTGGACCTACATCGCTGAATTTTTGCTTGGATATTTAGTACCCATAGAAAACTCTCTGTACCAAATTAAGCCAATATGATTGTTAAAGACAAAAAATACATTAAATCGAGAGGTACGGTTATATGGGGGATATATCAAAACTTGGACCCAGATACCCTATTTCCCATACAAATAATTGTATTGATATAAAAACTATCTGAGCTAAATTTTGAACGTCTATGTCAAGTGGATCGCCAGTTAATGAGTTTATACCCAATTTTTGGGTAAATACTCGGGTATTTATCCACGACTTTAAAGTATTGTAAAATTGGGTGTAAGATGTTGTATTACCGATTCAATATAATAAAAACCCGCAAATGGGTATCTACCCGGTATTTACCAACCCTTGTGTATTTACCCGGTAGATACCATGTCTATCCATGCGTATTTACTTACTATATTTTGTTATATATTATGAATTTTATGTATATCCAAATTAATAATATTCCTTGTTACATTTATTTGAGTAGGCCCCATCCTGTTGAATTATAGTTTATGTTTATATTTATTTTTTTATCTTTTAATTAATATTTGTAAAATAAATTTTGATATTCTGGCAGTCATTTGAGTAGATCCCATTCTTCTTGTGATAACAGTCGTATAAATTATTATTAATTTTAATTTTTATACTGTTTTTATAACCACGATAATATGTTAGAATAATTTTTTTAATTTGATTTTATATTGAGCTAATTTCGCTCGATTTTTGAGTAGAATCATACAGACATAGTTTAGTTTCTGTAGATAATTGTACTTTCACTAGTATAGCTTGTCAAGTTTGTGAACTGCAGATGTATTATGGCCCGCTTTTATTATCTTGATTGTTAAAATGTTACTTGTTTTATTTGATTGTGCTTTGTATACTGTGAAATTATTGTGAATAAATAAAAAAGAATTAATAAATAAGACTCTAAATCATATATATATATATATATATACACGTCTAACTATGTTACCTCAGGTATTGTCGTTTTATTTACTGTCTACATTATTATAATGACAAATGTTAGACTTACCAATGATTGAACAAGAAAATTTCTTTGATGGCGTAAATCGCAAACCGTATTAAATATTGATACTTGGTCTTCTTCTTCTAATTGCTGTAATAAAGAATCCAACGCAACCAGCGTTCCTGTTCGACCAACTCCTGCGCTGCAATGTACTAATATTGGACCCCGTTGTACTGAATAAACGGCATTGATGTGACGGATGAATTTTATTAAAGCATGTGGATGCTCGGGGGCCATGAAGTCTTTCCAAACTAAATAATGGTATTGGGTAATTTGTCGACTTTCTTCTTCCTCTTCGGTTAAAGTGTTTCTCTTGAATGTGTCTAGTGTACGGATCAAATAATCTCCCTGTTTCTTCTCCGACACAAACTTAACAGTTATTTCACCATATTGCTTTAAATCCATTATTTTTTCTGGCCAATATTTAGCACATTTAGTCTTATTGTATTCTTCTAGATTTGTCAGCATAACTATTATCTCTAGATGTTGTTCCCATATCATTCTCCAAAAATCATTTACTGTTGATTCCATTGGTCCTTGTGCACATATAAATTTTTTTCGTTCTTTGTATCCTATTACAAAGTTTGCATTTATATAATCGGATCCTTGGATTCCATTAATTTGTGAAAGCTTGACTCTTGTTTGGTCATAAGCTTTTATATCAGGATATCGATTCTTTGGTGTATTTTCTTTCATATCTGAATTCTTAGTTGTGCGGTCGCTAAATCGATTTGGTAACATTTCATATTCTCGCAAGAATCCGTAATCTGTATCTTTATGACGATTTTTGTAAGCTACATACAAATCCGATTTATGAATAGGGCCAACATCCGTTATTTTGCCATTACTATTTCCAATGAAATGTCGGTGGTTGCCAGACCGACCACCAAAAAGAACACGGCTAAAATTGTAGTAATGTAAAAAATTACTTATTTATTTATAATCGGTAAGGTTTGTACAAACCTTAAAGAATCTCTCAAGCTTATAACTTCTTCTCCTCCACCAGAATTTTTCTCCGTAAATCGATAATAAACCAAACAAAATATCAACAGTATTAAAAGACCGATTCCAATTATAATCCCAAAAGGCATTATTATTAAATATACTAATGTTATGCCATCTTCTGTATACATTTGTTCAGCGGTCAAACTGGGTGTTATAATTTCGAAGTAACTGCTATATGCTTTTAAAACTGAGGTGTTGTTCCGAACTGTAATAATATTTGCGATAAATAATCTTTATATAATTAAAAAAATATGTTTTGTAATACACAACATTTAATTACCTATAACTTCCAAAAAACCAGTGTAATCACTATTCATATCAAGTTCTCCATCGTATATAGTATACACATCTTCCGGCTCCGTGGATTCTGTGGCTTGATTAACTGACTGTGGGCTATCATTACGATTCATTACAATATTAGAATTTCTTCTCCGTCTTCTTTTGGTTCCCAAAATTTTTGATGCGGTTTCAGTGAAATTGCTGGCTTTGCTAAGCTCAAGGTGATGGGTATGATCCACGTCACTGTACACGTCTATAATAGATTATATCATAATAAAATACGGTCGGTACAATATTAGAAGTTTAAAAATATTGTGAAAATTAACGAAGCGAATTCGCATAGAAAACGCCAATAGTACTATATAAAAACGATTATTATTTGTTTGTTGTTTTGCCTGTACAACAAGATAAATGTATTATTAATAACAGTACAGAATTATAATTATAATCACACATCAATATTTTTTAATAATAAGTACGTTACATATTATAAAAGAGTTAAAAATTGTATCAATGGATACATTATGAACAAATATATGTGATAAAAAAAAAAAATGACAATAAGAAATTGGATTACAATAAAAAATTAAAAATTATTAAAAAATTAAATGTTACTATTACAATAGTTAACAAGCAAAAATTAAAAATAAATAAAGTAAAGGAATTTTATGATCATACCTAACGTTTTAAGATATGAACGAGTAAAAAATTTGATATCAAATTTGCCGTCGCATGATGCTGATACAATAAATCGACTATATCTTCAATTGTTGAGATTTTTCACTTGAAATTTTAAGGAGACATTATTGATTTTTTGAAACCGATAATGGGAGTCCCCTTAAAGATAATAGAAATTATATTTTGGGTAAGATTCGGTGGAATCGCATAGAAAATAATCATATTAAATTAATATGTAAGTATTTTGGTCAGATTTGGTGGAAACCCATAGAAATTATGTATATTAAATAAATGTAAGTAAGTCCCAGTTTACACTAAAGTAATTTCATGAAATTGTGAGTTCTTGAGCTTTTTTGCAGTATTGCTGAACTGAATCTAAGAACGCCATATTTCTGCAATGAAATAAATAACCAGGACTAAGCAAATTTCTTCTTCCTAATTTAGTATCAGAATAAGTAAAAAAGAAATAAAGTGTTTAATATAAAAATAGTATATATTTACTTGTAGCCTCTTTTTCTGCAGTGGTTGTAGGTCTCCTTAATATAAACTTTTCGCCTTCCAGACATTTTAAGCAGTTTATGTCCATATCATTACCACTGTGTCCAGAGTTTTCGAAGTATCTTTTTCCGTCGCCAAGAAATATTTCTGTCTTAAAGTTGTCACCGGAAAACATTTCTGCCAAGTACGCGCCGCCCAAAGAGTTGTTTGCTGCGTGAACTTGTTGGTATGTTGATATGTTAAGTTTGTCTGGAGGAGGTAATTCCACATTATTGTATTTCATTCTGATTAAATACAAACGATAACAGCATATTGGGCCATTTCTTTCGCTTACACGAGGAATTATTGTTTTGAATACACATTTTTTATCATTTACTCGAACCTTAGTCCAAATAACTCGACTAATTACGTCGGGAACTGACACTGGCATGGTACATTTTCCTTCAGCAGCTTCTCCAATTTTTCGGTGACGGGTAATAGCAGATATTGTGACAGTATAATTCGTGTTTGGGACTACGCTATCGTAACTGGTGTGGTGGTGAGGCTCATCGATGCGTCTAATTTTAGGACCCCATGTTTCCCGTTGCATTTTCCCATTAAGCTTATATTCGGAGATCCCTTCCAAATAAATTTGATATGATATAACTTTACCATTTGGTTTTTCTGGATACCTCCAAGCAATATCAACAGTATTTAGTTTTGATATATTGTTATGAATGCACCTCACTGTGAGATCTAAAGGCTGCGATGAAACCCCATCCATCGTTGTTCCATTAACAACATCTGACCATGGACCACACATCTTTGTTAAGTCACTACATGCTCGCACTTTAAATTCATATTCAGTAGCTGTTTTTAAATTATCAAACATATATGGCAGATTTCTAGAATTTTGTTGATATACTGCTTCTTCAATAATTTTAGGGGTATCTCCCGTCTCGGACACAACTAGTTCGTAATACTGAACATACGGAATCAAATTGACTGGAGGAGGGTCCCATCCTATTGTTATTGTTGATGCAGTACTTCCTGTAGTTTTTACTTTTGGTATGAAAATTGGGTCCTTTTCCAATGTTCGAACAGGCAATGGATATTGAAATGGTGTCCCACTACCAATGCTATTTTTTGCCGACATTCTTAATACATAACTAGTGTTTGGTAAAAAATTTTCCAAAACGTACGAGCTGTTTCCTCCTCCAATAACGTCTTTATAGTATGCCAAATCTGGGTTACCCTCTTGCAAATACTGAACAAAATACTTTTGTACTGGATCATTTCCATCATTTACAGTCCAATTTAAGTAAATTTTACTGGCGCCGACCGCTTTTACATAGTCTATACTAACTTTCGGTACATCCATAACTAACAAAGCAATATTGTGTCTAGCTACTTCCTCGCCATTTAAGGCATATATGACACATGCGTAAGATCCATTTTCTTTTTTATAGACTTCCGTTAATTCCAATGTAAAATTTACATAGGTTTGATTGATATGGTCGACATTGGAAGATTGATCAAGGAAGCTAAATGCATTTTCATCCTTTAACCATTTTAATTGTTTTTTTAATGTTTCATTTTGAGGGTAAATTTCTATTTCACAATACAATTTTACAGGGTTTCCAATTTTTTGCTTTACTTTCAAACCATTCGTGTTTACTATTTTTGAACTTATATAGGGTTGCAAAAATATTTTGGTGAGTACACCCGTATCTGCCGACTCGCAGGTGTAAATGCCTTCATCGCTTATATGAATATCGGATATTGTTAAGGAAATTTCATAAACCTCTTGCAATTCTGATATCTCGTTCGTGCTATTTGTTTTGAAAATGCCATTGATATATCTGAAAGAAAAGGTAATTGAATGTATTGGTATTCAGTTCACAGATTCATAACAATTACATCTACTAGATAAAACTAATGAAATTAATTTGGGTTAACAAAACCAGACCAAACAATATACAATATTTATAACAAATCGTTAAAAAATATAATTTTTAATTTAATTAATTAAAAAAATTAAATGTACTTGCGAAATTTATCCTGATTTTAAACTGTTTCCCATCGTATCTTTCTTACTGTTAGAGGAGTTTAATCGTGCTGTACAATTTACCACTTCTTGAGTAATCATAAAATAGTCACCATGGGAAATGAAGTCATCACATCCACCATTGTGCCTTCGTCTTTATATTCAAATATTCAACCGATTTGAAGTGAAGGCAGTTTCTCGGTTTGGCCCTATATGCCAAACTATCCTGTACGATGCACCAAATCTTGAGTAATCATTTTGGCAGCAACTGCAACAGTGATTGTGTAAAACTACAAACATAAAATAGACAATTTGGGAAGTGAATTCATCACATCCACTATTGTGTCTCCAATTCGTTGACGACGTTTGAATGCGATGCGGAAATCTAGTGCCGTTGCAAAGCAAGTAACAAAATTGTAGGTGGTACACTAAAAATAACAAAGTATTCGCACCACTCTCAAAAATTAGTTAAGTGCGAACAATGAAGGCTGAAATCTTGCAGAAAATAAAAACCGGTGTTTTTTGTACGATTAGCATCTATTCTATTATATGTGCCCTTAAACAAGATAGAATATATAACGTAATATGATTTGTAAACTTTTCTAGAAAACCAAGATTTGTATCAGAATCTTAATTTAGGAGTATGTGGTATACGCTGCAAATAATAAAGTGGCGGCAATAATGAAGGACTTGTGGACGGACGTTAATTCCCATTTTATAGATGCACCAAATCGGTAATATACAACGGATTGTGATTAAATTTGGTTAGTACGATTTTTTTTAGTCTGCAAATAAGTGTCAAATTTGGTTCAAAGCGGTTCAGATTTAGATATAATTCTCATATATATGTTCTATCCGGTTTCACGTCTAAGTAACTCCAAACCTACAAAATATATCCAATCATCGTAAAATTTAGTTTGCATGCCTTTTTATACGCTAGAACTCAGAAAAATTTGGTTCAGATCGGGTCAGACATTATTAGGTGCCGCTTCTTCCGAACAATTCATAAGCATCGTTCATCTTTCTGTGACATTTCCCCCAATTTTGTGCTAATTTAAAGCAAAATAAATGTACTGTTTGCTTTAAATGTCTCTCTCTTTCATCCGAAATGTTGTCGACATCAATTTTGCTCACTACATGTTTGAAAACAGCGTCAGATTTTTTTTCTTTCTGTTACCTTCTTTTCTCTCAGTGTACGAAAATAAACAATCCTTTTTTGTAATTTGAATTCATCAACAATACATACAAACTAATTAAAATGTCTTGTTTGAAAAGAAATCGCAAAATAAAATCTGGTACAGAAAGAATGATAACGAAAATTCTCACATTAAATATAGCGACATTTCTGGTCTAGTTGCTGATGCCATTTCGAACAACAAGGGAGTTCATTCGAACAACAAGGGAGTTCATTCGAACAACAAGGGAGTTCATTGAGTGCAGAAAAAATTGTGTAAGTTTTTACCGATTTTTCCAATCGAAAAAGAAACTATTTCTAAAGATTTAGGATGAAACAAACAAACTAACGAATCGAAATTGTTTAAAAATTATACATTGCGGGATAACCTAAAATCACCTCAATCATCTCCGAAACGACGTAAATCTGCCAGAAATTTAAACAAAGACAAACGTGAGGAAAACGAGAAAAATTAATAATTGGGCGGTATGAAATAAGTCCCCAATGAAATTAGTACCCCAACAGAAAATGAAATAAGTCCCCAAATATTTCATTATGAAATAATAAATCCCAAAATAAAATGAATTAAGTCCCTAAAAGCGGGGAAATTCGGAAAATGAAATAAATCCCCAAATAAATTGTTTCTAAATTTTTGCAAAGAGGCCTCTACGGCAGAGGTAGTTCGAATTTTATTACTGCAGACACAAAAGTTCTTGATTCCAATCTGTAAATGAAATTTTGTTTTTATTGTTCATATAAATAATAACATTTTAAATATATCTACTTTCTGCATCCAAAATCGAAATATTTTATGAATGCCATAAATAAATACCAGGGTAAAGTCCATTAATTAAATACATTGGTTTTAATAGCAAAGCTAACATTTTGTGATATAGACTCGAAGCACTGTTGAAATTGAAGCACCTTATTTAGTCCAACAAAGTCTTTTTTGTTTGATTCCAAAATATATTCCTATTTCCACAACTATGTAAACAGATATCATTCGAACACTTAATACTTTTATACATTTAATAAATCTATAATAATATTAAGTATTTGAAAGAAAATTGTGTAGGGGAGACAGGGGCACTTTCGGCAATCGCGTTTTCGATATGAAGCACTCACCGTACAACACTAGTTTCGATACATAGGTATCGAATAACGAAATAAATAACTGACACAAAGTTTGAAATTTATAGCTAATAAGCTTATTTAGATACATAGGTTTTTGTATTTTTATATATGTTTCTGTAATATTTCAATTCCATTTCGTAAGTATTTCGTGTATAAAACTTTTAAAATTTTTAAGACAATATCATTAAAAAGTGGTTAACTACGATGTGTATTATTATGAAAATATTTAAAAATATAATGTTTTTACAAATCTGATCGAAAAAAATGAAAAAAAAAACTATTAAAAGTACATTCGGGGTACATTCGGCTAATAAGCTTATTTTAAAGTGGGGCACATTCGGCCATATACAGATTGTGCAATATTATGTCCTTAAAATGTTTTTGAGCTTGTCTTTAAAACTAATCCTTTAATATGGTCCGAAATTGCATTTATAAGATCAAACGTACTTGTATTGACGAAAATGCGATAGAAAACCCTTATTTCTGATGTTGTGTGCGAGCTTGAGATGTAAACGTAAAGCCCTATAATTCAAACATTGTGTGGCGTATTAAAACCAAATAGAGCCTTTAGAGGATCAGAATTTCAACCAGACTGATAGCGATGACAATTACCCGGCTATGACTATGGTGCCGAATGTGCCCCATAAAATGCCGAAGCTACCCCGGGTTGGGGCACATTCGGCGAATTTGACTTTTTTACAAAACTGTAAAATATGTTAACTAATACTATTTTTTATATCTTTTTAGTACTATTTTTTATAAGTGTCAGAGGACAATAATCAGCCATAAAGTTGTTATATATGTTGAATAAGTACTGAGATATAGAGCTCTAAAAAAGTGCCGAAGGTGCCCCAGTCTCTCCTAATTATTTAAATAGGTAGTTATTTTAACTCAAACAAAAAATTCGCGCGAATTTTTTAAATATTTATTTAAAAAAATATTTGCATTGATCGAAAGGCAGTCACTCACTTTCGAATGAAAAAGGGTTAATGTTATCGAAAGCTGTGGTTCGTTTGTTATTATACCCTAAAATGACACATAAAATAGGCTGTTGGATTCATTTGTCGACTGAAAAACTTGTCTAAGTATGTCATACCAATTCAGTAGTTACTGGTAATGCGAACTGTACTGAATAGACTCATTTTTTTACTACCGAAATTTCTGTCTACTGATAACGAAGACAGGGGACAATTGACTTCTCCAATGACATCCATATTTTAAACTCGCCAGTCTGAAGCATTGGGAAGTAAATTGGTGTGGTTACAAAGAACAAGGGAAATAATTAGTTTGTAGCTAGCTTCTAGAAATTGGAAATCAATTTTGTTTCAATTTAATTTTCCAAACACAGGAATGAAAAATCGAAGCGATAACTATAAAACATGTTCGACAAATTTTCAATTTGTTTGGAGATATGAAGCAAGTAAGTGAATTTGAAATTCTCGTTCGTGTGAAGACTGCTCTTTCGCCCTTGATAAATCCAATTTGAAAAGAAAATGTATACGTTCGTTTACGAGTTCTTTATTGCTAGAATCATTTTCCATATAAAAACTTTTCATAAAAACCAAAAATAACTAGCATATACCCGCTACTTCGTTAGCGAATGTGGGATGTATTTAAAACCCTATATCGATCATTATTAAAATTTTAGAACCATTTAGTACATATGTTCTACTATAGTACGTTTTTCAAATCTATCTCTATATCTCAACCCTACACACCCATTCCGATCGCAACAGAAATCTACCTCTATACTAAATCTGGTGTCATGTTTACCATTTGTAATCGTGTAATACTTATTTTGAAAAAAAATCAAATCTTTTTGTTTTGATTCCAAAATATCTTTCTATTTTCACAGCTAAACAAATTTCATTCGAACACTTAATACTTTTATACATTTAATATATCTATATTAATATTAAGTAGGCCTTTTTTAATATATTAAATGTATAAAAGTATTGAAATGAAATTTGTTTAGTTGTGAAAATAAGAAGATATTTTGGAATCAAACAAAAAATTCGCGCAAATTTTAAGAATTGTCAACCGATTTTGCTGATGCCCATTGTAGTCAATGCTAGATACTTTTATTATTCGCATTGTATTTATTACAATGTTAATACTATAATAGATAAATAAATAAAAATATTTCCCACATTATATCAGGAATATTGTCAAATACACCATATATGAATATTTTCAAATGTCTTGAAACGAGGCAATATTGCCGCCACAGTTTTTCATTTCGTTTATTTCACATGTAATTCAAGGCGATCGAGCCCATTAATGAACAGAATTATAATATACATCGTACACAATTAACTTTACCTTAAAAGATAAAACTACTCCATGTAGCATTAATAATATTAAAACTTTTTGTATATATAATTAAGAAAAAAATCTAAAACTATCTTTCTATAAATACATAATCAATAATTGTAGGACTGTAGGCATTCGCTTAGTCCAAGGTTTTGGAATTTCAGGACAGTGGCATATATAAATTACCAAACATACTGTTAAATTGAACACTTAAAAAATCCAAAAAATTTCAATATCCAAAATAAAAAGTATATACATTCTGAAAGCCCATGGACTGACCTTTCAATTGTGGGTATTCGCTTAGTCCCAGGTTTTGGAATTTCGGGGCAGTGGGCCTAACACGTGGCATATATACATTACAAGACCTACTTAAATTGTACAATTTTTAACAAAAAGTCTAAAATTTTTAAATATACGAAATTGATTTCGGATATTAACTATGAGGGCAGTTTGAAAACTTCACTGCCTAGCACAAAAAGCGCGGTATAAACAGAAAGAAGTTAAGTGTTTTGGAAACTTCCATCTGTTATGAACACATGTTAAATTTTGTTTCGATCTGTCAACTCCTTCATACAGAAACAGGTGTTCAAAAAAGACGCATCCACAATTTTTTTACTATGGAAAAATTAGAAATGCGTACTGTCAATGAATATTTACATAAAAAAGGTTTATCGGGACAAGAAATTCATAATAATATGGTGAATGTGTTAGGTGAAAGTGCTCCTTCATATGCAACAAAAAATTGGGTTGCTGAATTTAAACGTGCTCGTACAATCATTGAAGATGAACCATGTAGTGGACGTCCAAAAACAGCAACAACAAAAACAGCCAAAGAGCGTGATATCGTATTAAATGATCGACGAATAAAATGATGGAGTCCATTTAATTTTGCATGAAGAACTACAGAAGATAACACACAAAAATAAATAAATAACTTTCATCAAGACAACGCACCAGCGCACAGGAGTGTTTTAACAATGACAAAAAATCAACGAATTATAGAACGAGTTCCTTGACCACCCACCTTATTCTCCTAATTTAGCTCCGAGTGATTTTTACTTGTTCCCAAATCTAAAGAATTTATTGCTGGCAAGCATTTTACCTCAAATGAAGATGCAATTACAGTTGCAAACCACTATTTTGAAGACCTTTTTAATCAAGGGATAGAATTGATAGAAAAGCGTTGGTCTAAGTCTATTGAAGTTTCAGAAGATTATATTGAAAAATAAAAATATTTTTGAAAAACTAACTATTCTCTTTCATTGATAGGCTAAAAGAAGTTTCCGAACCGTCCTCTATAGCATAGCTCCTCGCTTGCACTCTGCCGTCCGGCTAAATGTTTAACAAAAAAAATACACATTTTTCTTATGTTTTTTATCCTATTTTAAATCACACTAATGTATTTTGACAAAAATTAACATACTACTAGCGGGCCCGGCAAACGTTGTCTTGCCTAGCAATATTGTTGATGTATAATTTTCGGCGTTCTACTTTATGATAGTTCATATTGAAAATTTAACATTTGGTTCCCTTTTAAGGGTAGCCTCCATATAACGGTACCCCCAATATTCAACATAATTGCTTCTAATTTTATATTAGCTATACTTATTGAGCAGAAAATCTCCCTAATTAATAATATCAATATTGACCCAAGTATTCGGATAGCTCCCATATATATCCCTTAATATTCGGTATTTGGCTGAAATTTTTTATTCGCCCAAGCTTCCAAATATCCCTCATATAATTTTTAAATCTAATCGGCAGTAATTTGGTATTTGGTTGTTTTATTTGGTAGAATGAATCGTACTAAAAGTATCTATATTGGTCCACTCTTTGAGGTAGCTCCCATATAACGGTTCGGTATTTTGGAGAGTTGGTTCCAGTGTGTCAACCAAAGTGGTAGTAATGTTTTATTTGGTCCAAATTTTCCCATAGAGTTGGTCTAATGTATTAAAAAGGCGCCATACATATTTGAAGTTCTTAACCCTTTTTCTAACCTGAGTGTCGGTACATTATTTTTAAAGAGCATGGACAACCTACTATCACATAGTGTTGTAACATTGTTCCCATATAAATGTCCCGACCGATTTAAGGAATCTACATATTAGGAGATATGAATTTTTCACAGAAAATGGCATCGTATATTAGTTTTCTCTGTGATACACATTTGTGGTATCGGATATATGCGAGGTGTTGTGTTTATGAGTTCAAAGGCATTGACCAACGATTGGGCATATAACCACCATATAATGGTGGTTATATGCCCATTTGATATTTCCCGTGCCACAGCAACATTTTAAGTACTTTAAAGAACAACGTGTCCTTATGGAACTATTACTATTCATATTTTAAGAAAAAATGATCTAGGGAATGGATCTTAGAATCAAAACTATTGCGAATATCTTCTGATTTTCATCCTTGGATTTGTCCCAAAATGTACGTGCATTCTATGGACAACGTGCACATACAATGATCGCGTGTACATTAAATGATATATTCTCAATTATTTTTTGAATTTTCACAAAAAACGTTTCAATACAATGTTAATCAAATTGGAAAAAATCTAAATTTTCAATAATTGACAAATGAAGGCTGAAAGGATTGATACGCTATCAATTTTTGCCCAAATATCACAAAATAACAACTACGACGTGGTGCAATCATAATAGCTCGATACTAAATTCGTGGAAATGCAAATATGCTTCATAATATTTTTTCGCAAATTTTTTTTCGGTTTTCGAAGGTTTTCACCTTTTAAACCTTCCCTGAACCTCCACGAACATTTGAGGACTAAGATAAGAAAAATCCGTTCAGCCGTTCTCGAGTTTTAGCGAGACTAACGAACAGCAACTTTTTTCAAGTCAAAGACAATCCAATTGATTGTAGAAAATTTACATATTTTGAGAATTTTCCATAACTGACAATTACATAAAGATATACGCTGTCATTTTCGACCAAAATATGTTCAAAAAGAGCTACGAAGAGATGAAACAATAAATGTCCGGTATAAAATGTGTGGAAATGCTAATATCTTTCAAAATATATTTTGCAACATTTTCGCGGATTTTTCTTAAAATGTTCTTTCATTAGAACCTTTCCACTTCAATTACAGACTACTAACAGAAAATTTAAGTCCAATCGGTCCAGCCGTTTCTTTAAAATAATTTTTGCAAGATTTTCGCGGATTTTTCTCAAAATTTTCTTTCATAAAAACCTTCCCACAGTAATTACCGACAACTGAAAACAATTTTGAGTCAAATCGGTCCAGCCGTTCTCAATTGATGCGTTAGTATACATTTTTTGGCTCCACTTTTATATATATATATATATATATATAGATAGAAGATATATAGATTTTAAATCACACTAATGTATTTTGACAAAAATTAACATACTGGATGATAAGACAAATTTGAAAGTATTATTTTACCGTATGATTTCTTACCTTTTGTTATCCATATCAATCGTTTGATTCTTAAATTTCCACGATACGTTCTTATTACTTGAGTAACATTTCATTGTTACGTTTTCGCCAATATTGAGGGCTTGGATTCCTAAAAAAGAAAAAAAATTATGTTATGAAAATTATGGTTAAAAAAGGTCGGCAATGGAATTAACCATTTGATTCTACGGAATTCTGACTGTGAAACGTATCGGTTGTGCTTTTTCAGTCAAGAAAATTAAAAAATTATAAACTAAAATTCAAATTTAAAAAAAAAAAATTAAAACAGATTTTCATTTCTGATTTCCCGAAGGAAACCTTTGAAATAAAACAAGAATAAGTACGTAAAACGCACTTGGCGCGGGTGCAAATGATGGGGAAACCTGCATCCGTTTCTCAGACGGTGGAGGCCTCCTGATACATCCTATTCGGAAACAAAAAAAAAAAATGAAAATTGACCTATCTAAGCATGATTTTAAAAATACAGGCAGATTGGATAGTCGTGTTAACTGTTCAAATAGGTTTTCCCTATTAGGCGATTTAGATATATAATGTTGATAAACACAAACTGAATCCACAATCCAAAGCTGATAAAAGAGATTCGTTTTGTCCACCTATATTCCTTCAAAACGTTAATATATGCTCTCTTATTGAACAGTTGAAAACGAAACACGTTCAATTTAAAATTAAAAACCAATCTAAAGTGAAATGTAAATTGTTCTTAAAAGATGCTTCAACTCCCCTTTCGTAGGGATCGCTAACACACCATAATCCGCATTATGATGGAATATGAGAAGGGATAGAAAACCAGCTACAGAAATCTACTTCAACAGCCAGTTTGTTATTATGTTGCATTATTAATTTAAAAATACAATTATATCAGATTTTATTAGTTTTATATTCATGAAAAAATCTACGTTAGAATACACAGAATTGAAATCAATACACATTTTACTAAGTGGATCTCCCATAGAATAATTTGTGCGATGAAAATCTGCGTATAATAGTTGATAATCGCCCATGTGACATGTTTCGAGAGTTTTTGAATTCCCATACTTTTTTAAATTCCCATGTTGTGCAAAATGGTGTGCTCAATTTCGAGCGAAAGTGCGGCTGGAAAGCTTAGCTGTGTTCAATATGTTACGAAATGTGTTCAATAAAAAAACATATGTTTCATTGGAATTTGCAATTTGTTTACCAACAAAATTAAGAAAAAATATGCCTCCTGGCTTATTAATTGCCCTGGTTTCTACCAGAAAAAGTCTAATGATACTGGAACGTGTTAAAATAAGCATTTATGGATATTTTGAGAGAAGTTGGTCCTTTCATACACAAGGGTACCATTCCCGAAAGCCTGCAGTTAGCAGCAAAGATTTCAGGCTGTTGGTGGGTTTCAGAGGGTAGTGGCAAATGATTCAAATATAAGTGTTGATCGCACACTTATGTGTAAAATATTGTGGAGATTAATGAAAGTCCTGGAAGACAAAGTGTGTGCAAGCTGTGGACAGCTGCAGACCAGGATCCAGCCATGATGCTTTTATTTGGCATAGGAGTGCAGCTAGGCAGCATTAACAAAAGAGGAAATGGTATGCAAAATAGTTGGCTTCTAAGAGACAGTGGTTACGCTTTAGAAACATTTTTTGACGCCCTATAAACAAGTGGAGCATGGATCTTGTCAACATCGATATAGTAAAGTGCACACATCTGCAAGAAACATTATTAAAAGGACTATTGGAAATCTTAAAAGTAGATTTTTTATAGATTCTATTTTTATTTTGATCATATGGTGTTTCAGTTGCCAGATTGATCTCAAAAATGTTACGCGCTGTTTTTGATAAAATAAGCCCTTTTTTATTTCTTTAATTTTACTATAAAAACTAATGTAAATACTTTATTTTTTAAATAAATATTGTAAAAACATGTTAAATATTACTTCAGCGTTCTTTTTTAACTTGTACGTGCTCAGAAAAACACGTACGATCTCATTTCGTTTTCAATCCACAAAGGTATATGTGCTCGAATTATATTCCCAATATTTTTTTTGGGAATTCGGAATGGAGCACACCAAATTTGGGAAATTGTTTCACATTCGAGCAAACTCGAAATGCAGCACATGGGCGAATATGTACTGGATCGAAAAAGAACATTTATTCTAATGGATGATATTTAACCTGCTAGTGTAAGAAGGCAACACAAAATCACTATTCCAATGTAAACCTCTCAGTGCAAAAAGGAGAAATTGTTTCTGCACTAATTCAATTTTATTGGAATATATTGAATATTGGGGATCACATACAACAGAGCCATATTCTAATATGGATAGCACAAGAGATGAAAAAAAATAAAATAGGACTTTTGCTAGTGTTCTTATTTAAAGGTTAACCCTGAGGAGAGGATAAAACAATTTATGGCTAATTACAAACATATGTCAAAGGATCAAACAAAGGCCGAGTGTTTGAAATTGGTAATGGATGTTCAAGATGAGTACTCTCCATAGAGGATTACACTTAATCACATTCAATGTTGGATCTCTTGTCAACATATGTAGAAAAGTCGAACTGAACATATTACTAGATCAGTATAAGGCTGATATAGCTTTTTTACCAGAGTTGCATTTACCATTGATAATAATGAGCTAGGGGTAGGTATAGCAATTACAAAAGGCATTTCATATATTTCATATTCCCGGTTTAAATTTTCCAAAAGCGTTTGTTGAAGTAAGGGTATGTGATTCAATTTATTTCCCTACCAATTTTGATTTCAGATGTATGTGTGTTGGCTTAACGTCAATTTTAAATTTTACAGAAAATGTTGATGGCTTAATAGTAGCAGGTGATTTAAATGCTAAAAATTTAGTTTGGGGAGATGAAATTAACAACTATAATGGCGAAGTATTATCAAATTGGCTTGATGTCGAAAATTTGAATGTGTCTAGAATTTGTGATTCACCTCCCACCTATCCAGGTGGTTCGTCACATTTGGACCACTATAATTAGTTGCAATTTACTAGGTTATCAAAATTATTCAACATGTACTTTGCCTACTTTTTCAGATCACTTACCTCTTAAACTTGAACTTCCCTTCCCACAATTTGATTTCATACTAAATATTCCTGATAACTATATTTCCTTCAAAAATACAAATTGGAGTGTATTTAAAAATGATACTGTAAATGTATTATTGAATCATTTCCCCCCAATTGACCGAAATTTATCAAACAGTGAAATTGACACTTTCATAGCGAGTTCGTAACAACCGTCAATTTTGTCGTTAAGATCCTTCCGAAGTTAATGGGCAAAGTTTAAAATTTGTAGTTTCGAATCATTTAAAGAAATTATAAAAATTAAATATGATTGGCAAAGAGATCTGAAGAAAATTTACTCTCGCACACTCGATAGGAAGCACCCGGCTATTTGTTAATATCAAAACAAATTCAGTTGATAAAAATAATTATTAAAGAACAAGCTGAATTAGAGCAAGCTAATATTTTTAATACAAAACATGAAAAAATAAAACCTAGACCTTGGGCGTACAAGCAGATCTACAAACTTATCGGGAAAATCAACAATCTAATTTAATTAAATTAATCTAATTTAAATAAATTATATTTCGGTAAATGGGCTAAATATTTCGGATAAAAATCGTCAACTAGGAGTCTTTAAAGATAATTTTACTTCAATTTATCAAGGTTCCCCTCCCAATAGAGACATATCGCACATAGATGACATTATAAACCGAATTATTTCTAGTGCACCTTTGATCGAGTTATGTCGTTTTTATAAAACCAGAACAACCCCTTCTACACATCTATGAGGTCTCTTGTTGAAATTGTGAAATTCATCAACAATAAGATGTCAAACGGTGTGCATAACATTTCAAATTATTTAATTTAAAAACTTTAATTTAGTGTTATTATGACATTAATTTACCTCAGCTGACATACATGAACTGTGGAGCACATATTAATTATCGAAATTCTAGTTGACAACAGATTTAGTTTCTACCTGCCGTCAACTTTTATTTTTATAAAAAATATCAAAAAATCAAAATATTATTTGCAGTGCAAATATTATTTATTTCGCTTGCTCTATAAACAATAATATTACTAACTATTATGTTATTTTATTTAAAATTTTAAGAAAAAATATATTTAAATTAAGAATTTTATTAATGGGTCGATTATGGAAAGCAACCAAACTCCAGTTGCGATTTCAACTGGCAACGCCACTGAAATAAAACATGACATTATGAATATCAACTTTTCTCAGTTTCCGTCGATAATACTGTTTTGACACTTTTGCAACTAGAAAAGTTATAAAAAAAACAAAAAATTGAATAGAATAGAATATTTCAGAAAAACGTATTTTAAGTGATGTTAGGCTCAGTGGAACTAGTTTTTGATGATGAAAAAATATTAGAAGGCATTTAAGCGATAAATCCAATTCATTAGAGCTACCATCCGTACCGTGAGTAGATGTTTATGTTTAGATAATTGTTCAATCAACTGCTCATGTTAGCTTTAAGGCGTATTTTCGGCCACCAAAAGATGCCGTTGTGTACTTATTTGAAGCATTCAACCCTGATTTCCGAAAAGTCCGACGGTCAACAGCAATTCCTCCTCTCTTAAAAGTGTGTGTAGCTCTGAGGTTTTTTGGCATGGCTCAACCCACAATGTCGGTGATTTTGACCGAAGTTGTCGGCTAATAGAGGAAGTGTTAGAGATGAGTGAGATGTTGAAACCCAACCTTCTGGTTCGATTGTAGTTTCAATTCTAATTTGTTTATGAAATATTCTGACTTATGTACTACATAAACTAATCTAACTTAGCCTATCTTAAACCCATAACAACTATCAGTTCTCACAGTGCACATGGGGGTTGCGTTCATTTGTTTACATCAAATTAGCGCACCAATATCTTTGTGTGTGGCCTTCTATTGATTCTTTATTATCAGCGCACACACACAGATCTTGTGACTGCATTGGCCACTTATCCTAAAACCACTTGAACATCATTTATGAAATGCATAAATGCGAAGTGATCATAAAATAAAAAGGATGAACACGAGCATGTTCATATTTTTATGAACATTCTCCCGGCCGGCAAATATTATTCTAGATATGTTGTGCCCGTGGAAACTGATTGCTTATATGGAGATGATTCTTATTCTAAACAGTCCTTTTTTCAATATGAATTGAACATTGAAAATACAGATATTGTTATAAGTAAAATATTCTTCTATGTAAATATAAAATTCTTAAAATTTAAGCGATGAGTTGTTTTGTAGTGGACTGTGCCGTTATCGCTCGCGTCATCATTTCCTATTTCCTTTGTCGTTATTTCTGCATCCTTCCCTCGCTTATGGATTGGCTGCAGTTGCTTAGATCTCGGCAGGTATCGGTGGGCTGCCTTCATCTTCACTTTTTTCAATCTGCATCTTAGCTTTAGAAAAGGTCTCAACGCTGCTAGATCGCTGCTCTTTCTGCTGTTGTAGATGTCTGGCGGTAAATGTGGTAGTGGTTGCGAGGTAGGCCTTCCCATTGGTCTATTTAACATTTGTACTAGTTCTTGATAGTTTGGAGGTTCACCTCCAGCAGTTGGTTGTTTCAGTGGAGCCATTTCCTTTAGCCTTTGCTTTAAATTTTTGTATCTTGGAGATCCATCTCTTGTTGCTGGTTGTGGGCTAATTGTTTCATGTCGAAGTTGTAAATCCGCTACTTTTCCGCAAACAACTTTTTGTGGTTGAGCTGCATTGCCACCTATTATGTCGCCACAAGCAGGGATCCTTCCCGGCATAACGTGCAGCGGAATATATGTCGGCTTACCGCGGGACGGAACCGATTGGTGATGTTGCTGCACCTCAATGATTTCGGTGTTTTGCATTTGTTGTTGTGTACTTGACCGATGGGATGGTGGTTGTTGATGATGATATACCACCTCTGTTGTTGTTGTAGCATCCTCTTGTTGTTGCCTTTCTTCTGCCTTTTCAACTATCTCCCCAGCTTTCGGTTTATCATATGTGGTTTGATTAGTCGATCGGTTCCTGCAGCTTGTCCTATAAGGCTTGGATTTGTGGTACCTCTAGCAGCACTTTGAGCAGCAGCTTTCTCCGCTGCCATTGTCGTGTTGGCAGAAGCCAGGTGAGCCTGTTGTTTCTTCAACATATTTGGAATAGTGTAGGTCATGCGTTTATTGAGGAATCGAAGAGAACCTTCATGGAAGCCACCACCTCCGGGTGGTGGCAAATTCAATAGAGCTAATGGATGGGCTCTGAAGCCGTGAATTCCTGGCGCACGTTCACCATGTAAAATGTGATGTATAATGAAGCCAGGTGGATCCCGTAAGTAGCTAGGTGGCCCAGATGGCTCATCTCGCTTACGCCAGTCCCATGGTCTACTACCAGTTGCTAATTTTTCGAGTACTTCCGGTACATCACATTTGTCCCCTTCCCACCAGGCATCTCGGCCGGATTCAGGATTTTCGGAAACCTCATTTTGGACCTCTTCAGCATCAGTGGCATGCGACGATGGTTCTGGTTCATCATTGGGACATTCACGTCTGACAAAATCACGTGCACGTCTTTCTGGTTCCAAAAGCCATGGTTCATGACCGCCACCAACCTCTCTTCTTTCCTCAATGAGGGCTGTCTCGTAAGCTCTTTCTCGCTCATCTTTCGAATAAATATCTCAAGGCTCGGCACGCATGCGACTATCACTGGAGGGATATTCTGAGGGGCTCATTTCTAGGCGTCGTGCAACATATTCATGATCTTGTAAGTGTTCCTCACGTTCCAGAATCGCATTGTTTTCACTTTCTTCCTTATATTCCTCTTATTCGGTTTTGATTTTACGCTTGGCTAGCGGTATCTCTTCTCCGACCTCTTCTTCATGCTCGTGGTGGTTTTCTTGATGTTGTTGATGCTGGGACAACCAAATATTTTGATTGCCTTCTTTTTTTCAACAACCTCTACTTCCATTCATCCTCCAATGTGAGGATCTGCCGGCGGGATTATGGACGCGTCTTTGGTAATCTTATTTTTGGTATGGAAAATCCCATCATGTCCATCCACGGTTGCATCTCTTTCATCAATATATCCCATAGCTCCTTAAGAGCCAGAATTTGCTCATCAATTGATCTTGACATTTTTTATTGTTTTTTTAGCTGCCTTTGTGTCTATTTCTTTTGATTTTCTTTTTGCCTTATTTGTTTTTTATTTTTGCCTTCTTTGGCTTTTCTATGAGCCTTTTTTGTTTTTTTTTTTTCTTTTTGATGAGCCTTTTGGCTTCTTTTATTCTTTGGTGAGCCCTTTGGCTTCTTTTATTTTTGATGAGCCTTTTTGGCTTCTTTTATTTTTTTCTGAGCCTTTTTGGCTTATTTTAATTTTTTTATAATAATATATATGTATGTATATATATTTTTAAATATTATTATTTTGATTCATTTGAGCCTTTTTCTGGATTTTTTTATAATATTTTCTCTTTTGTAAAAATATTATTTTGTTGTTTTATTTTTCATTTATTTGGCGGCCGCTGATTCTTTTTTTCGAAGGACCAATATTAAGAGATGAGATGTTGAAACCCAACCTTCTTGTTCGATTGTAGTTTCAACTCTAATTTATTTATGAAATATTCTGACTTATGTACTACATAAACTAATCTAACTTAGCCTATCTTAAACACATAACAACTATCAGTTCTCACAGTGCACATGGTGGTTGCGTTCATTTGTTTACATCAAATGAGCGCACCAATATCTTTGTGTGTGGCCTTCTATTGATTCTTTATTATCAGCGCACACACACAGATCTTGTGACTGCATTGGCCACTTATCCTAAAACCACTTGAACATCATTTATGAAATGCATAAATGTGAAGTGGAAGGTTAGGTAAGGTTTGGGGATGAGCAGCCACTTATGTGGCTGCAGCACTCTGAGACCGCTAGGTCCGTTGTGATCATCCACGAGAAGAAAAGAGATAAGGATAGATCTGTAGGGGAGAGAAGATTGGGGATATAAAGGGAGATGAGAAGCTTACAGAAAGATATAAAAAAGGTGAGATTGGATTAAGGTCGATGGCTATAGGAATAAGACAGAAGATGTGTTACGTATCAAGGTTGTACGTCCCTAACCACTTTAGGTTTCTAATTATGTGGCGCAAACAGGGTTTAAAATGCAGCATCAGAAAATATTAGCATTAGTCTTACAGAGCTACAGCTAAAAAATATTGACATTATGACTAAATCAGCAAACGGCCAGCTTTTTTAGTTCGTAGCATCCGTGCTAAGCACGCATTGCACATGTGAGCTTTTTTTGTTATGACTAATAGGCAGTACGACTACATATTCATATTTCGCTGCCGACGAATAATCAGTCGAGGGTTGTTTTTATGTTTATGTGTTGCCAAGGCAGAAATTAGAAAAATGGCATTTCATTTTGTGCGTTTTTATTTAATTTAAACTTGTTGCTTAGCAGCCACAGTCAAGGTGCTTAGTCTTCATTGTAAGCTTTGGTTGTTAGTTGCGTTGACAATTATGTTGTAGTTGTTCATTGCTATTTTGTAGCTGCTGACAAAATCAAGAAGCTTTAGTTTTGCTTGCTAAAATTATTCGTAATGTATTGCTTTTTGCTGCAGTTGTGCTTGGCTGTGCTGCATATTTTGAGGATGAATTTAGTTAGCAGTGCGGCAATTTTGTGTTTTTGCTATTTTGGCGTTAGCATTTTAAACCCTGGGCGCAAACAGTTCCACCACACAAGAGAACCATAGGATAGGATGGGCCTTACCACGGTGTTATACAACCAGTGTATAGTCGATGGTGTTAGCCCCCAAATTTTCCCAATGGAGTTATTGCATGCATAGAGTGCAATCATCCCTCTATTCGCCCGTTCCTCAACGTTCCTATTCCATCGTAGTGGACAGTCCAGGATTGTGCCGAGGTACTTTGCTTCGGGAAATAGATGAAGTTGCACTCCATCCAGTGTTGGTGGAGCAAAAACGCCGAGCTTACGCTACCTAGCAAAGACTACCATTTCCGTCTTTGTTGGATTTACACCAAGGCCGTTTGCTCTGGCCCAACGCGACAGCGTCAGTAAAGCTCTTTGCATAAGCTCCGAGATTGTTGACGGAAATTTTCCGAAAATCAATATCACCACGTCGTCCGCATAAGGTACAACTTTGATACCTTTCCCGTCCAGTTCCCTCAGTATATTATTAATTACCAATAGCCATAGTAACGGCGAGAGTACCCCTCATTGGGGTGTGCCTCTAGTTACCTTCTTCCTGATTTTTGTAACCCCCACTCTTGAATTTATAATTCTGCTGTTTAGCATTTTATCTATCCAATATGTAAGAGTATCAGCAATGCCAACTTCTTTAAGTGAGTGGTTTACGGATTCAAGTTTAACGTTGTTAAAAGCTCCCTCTATATCTAGGAAGGCGGTCAGCGTAAAATTTAATTCTCGTGCAGTGCAGATTCCTCAGAGTCTTGAGGAAAAATGATGATAAGCTAAAGGGTCTATAGTCCTTTGGTGAAATTCTATCTAGTACTGGCGATTTATACGCTTGGAATGTATTGACTGCCCATCGTATCTTATTTCTGTTAACCACCTTGCCAATGAGATCCAAATCCGGAGTCGGAAAAGGTTGAGTGTCATCACTTTCACCGTCGATGGTACCCATATCTTTGCAATCTGGGAAATGAGTCTCAGCTAGGAGATTAAGAGTCTCAGAACCTGAGTTCGTCCACGCTCCATCTTGCTTCTTGATACTTCCGATGGACTTTGGACCCTGGGATAGTAGTCTTCGAAACCTAGCAGCGTCGTTGACTCCTTCTATCGACTCACAGAAATTTATCCAAGACTTTTTCTTTGCGCCTTTTATCTCACTCTTGTATTTTTATATTATAACTAGCGGGCCCGGCAAACGTTGTCTTGCCTAGCAATATTGTTGATGTATAATTTTCGGCGTTCTACTTATATGATAGTTGATATTGAAAATTTAACATTTGGTTCCCTTTTAAGGGTAGCCTCCATATAACGGTACCCTCAATATTCAACATAATTCCTTCTAATTTTATATTAGCTATACTTATTGAGCAGAAAATCTCCCTAATTAATAATATCAATATTGACCCAAGTATTCGGATAGCTCCCATATATATCCCTTAATATTCGGTATTTGGCTGAAATTTTTTATTCGCCCAAGCTTCCAAATATCCCTCATATAATTTTTAAATCTAATCGGCAGTAATTTGGTATTTGGTTGTTTTATTTGGTAGAATGAATCGTACTAAAAGTATCTATATTGGTCCACTCTTTGAGGTAGCTCCCATATAACGGTACCCAAAATATTCGGTATTTTGGAGAGTTGGTTGCAGTGTGTCAACCAAAGTGGTAGTAATGTTTTATTTGGTCCAAATTTTCTCATAGAGTTGGTCTAAAGTATTAAAAAGGCGCCATACATATTTGAAGTTCTTAACCCTTTTTCTAACCTGAGTGTCGGTACATTATTTTTAAAGAGCATGGGCAACCTACTATCACATAGTTTTGTAACATTGTTCCCATATAAATGTCCCGACCGATTTAAGGAATCTACATATTAGGAGATATGAATTTTTCACAGAAAATGGCATCGTATATTAGTTTTCTCTGTGATACACATTTGTGGTATCGGATATATGCGAGGTGTTGTGTTTATGAGTTCAAAGGCATTGACCAACGATTGGGCATATAACCACCATATAATGGTGGTTATATGCCCATTTGATATTTCCCGTGCCACAGCAACATTGTAAGTACTTTAAAGAACAACGTGTCCTTATGGAACTATTACTATTCATATTTTAAGAAAAAATGATCTAGGGAATGGATCTTAGAATCAAAACTATTGCGAATATCTTCTGATTTTCATCCTTGCATTTGTCCCAAAATGTACGTGCATTCTATGGACAACGTGCACATACAATGATCGCGTGTACATTAAATGATATATTCTCAATTATTTTTTGAATTTTCACAAAAAACGTTTCAATACAATGTTAAACAAATTGGAAAAAATCAAAATAATCAATAATTGACAAATGAAGGCTGAAAGGATTGATACGCTATCAATTTTTGCCCAAATATCACAAAATAACAACTACGACGTGGTGCAATCATAATAGCTCGATACTAAATTCGTGGAAATGCAAATATGCTTCATAATATTTTTTCGCAAATTTTTTGTGGTTTTTCTCACCTTTTAAACCTTCCCTGAACCTCCACGAACATTTGAAGACTAAGATAAGAAAAATCCGTTCAGCCGTTCTCGAGTTTTAGCGAGACTAACGAACAGCAACTTTTTTCAAGTCAAAGACAATCCAATTGATTGTAGAAAATTTACATATTTTGAGAATTTTCCATAACTGACAATTACATAAAGATATACGCTGTCATTTTCGACCAAAATATGTTCAAAAAGAGCTACGAAGAGATGAAACAATAAATGTCCGGTATAAAATGTGTGGAAATGCTAATATCTTTCAAAATATATTTTGCAACATTTTCGCGGATTTTTCTTAAAATGTTCTTTCATTAGAACCTTTCCACTTCAATTACAGACTACTAACAGAAACTTTAAGTCAAATCGGTCCAGCCGTTTCTTTAAAATAATTTTTGCAAGATTTTCGCGGATTTTT